CTTACCAAATATTAAAATTTTAATATAAATTAATAAAATTAATTAAATAATTAAATAGTTTAAAAATGGTAATAATAATTCTCTCTCTTCTTTTCATTGGCTAGCTAGAGTGTGGAGGAGAATGTGGATGAACTACATTCCTCTCTACATTGTAGACATTAATTATGTACACATCACCACAACATTTATAATCACATTGTGCATTGGAGAATGAAAAGTTGTGATATTAATAAATATGTTAATGTGGAATGTAATTTATCACTACAACATTGAGCATTGAAGATGCTCTAAGGACTGTGTTCTATTGGTTGTGTTTCTTTTTGCTTCATCTTCCCTTTTGATCTTGGTTTGTTTCATCTTCCTAAACATATACCAAAATAGTTAAATTAGATACATCATCTACTACATTTTAAAAGTGACTAATGTAGAAATATAAAATACTTATATGTTTTCTTATATCATCCATTTTCCTCCTGAGCTTCTCTTTAAACAAATATATAATTCTTCGAAAAGTATACATTTTGATTCAATTTATTAAGAATAAATATACAACCAAAAGCAGTCATTGTTTAATCCTTTTCACTTCAAACAACAATGCGTACATAGAAACAACTTAAGAAGCTATAAAATGTTACCTTTCTCAAAATTCTAGAATTCTATGGGTTGTGCAACGATTCTGTTGATCAAAATTCTATCTATCATTTATATTTTCTACGATTCGTGTACAAATTCGAGTGATATGTTTTTTTTGTCCGAATTTTGAGATCAACAAGTACTCGATGGGTTATTACTAAGCTTAGCAGTCATGTCCTTGAATGCAAAATTTTAACCGGTGCCCGAGCTGGTAATAAGGTTTTTAGTCCGAGACTTACAATCATACCATCTGATTTGATGATACCTTTCAAGTTTCATCGCAAGAAGTTTCCGCTCATGGTTTCCTATGTTATGACGATCAATAAAGTCAAGGATAGTCTTTGTCGCATATCAACTTATTACTGGAGAGCGATGTATTCAGCCATGAACAATTATACGTGGCGCTTTCGAGATTTACGAGTAGGAGGGGTTTGAAAATAGTAATATGTGGTTATGAAAATTCTAACGATAAAAAACCACGAATTGTATATATTGAAGTGTTATAACAAAATGACTATTGTTTATATCATAGTTTTTACACCCGGCCCAAAAATCGACCCGGGCAAGTCTCCGGGTCACCGGTTCAACCGCCGGGTCACCGGGTCAATTGCTGAACCGAATAACTAATTTTAAAATTTTTAAAATTATATATATAGTATTTTTGACATATAAATATACATAAAAGTAACAAAAATAAATGTTTTGTATACAAAATTTGTACGCTTTTTTTTTTGCCAATAAAATTTGTACATTTAAGTGTTAATAATATTATATCTCACAATAAATATTTATTATATCATTATATTTACATAGTTTATATTTTTTATATAAAAAAAATAAAAAATTTCTAGAGACCGGGGTCAATGGCCCGGGACTCCAGGTCAATGTCGGGTTGGCCGGGCTTTGACCGCGTTTGACTGGGTCCATTGTTACCCGGTCCAAATAGCCCGCCCGGACCGATTTCGGCTCCGGGTCGACCGGGTCTCGGGTCGACCCTTCGGGCCGGTCCGGGTAAAAAACAATGGTTTATATTTATAATTTTTATTTTCTTTATTATATACTTTACGTGCAAATGCACGGGTTACAACTAGTCTTGGGTAACAAAAAGATGTTTTTGTAGGAAAAATTAATTGAATGAAATTGTGTAACTTAACTTAACTCTTGTAACTTGTAACTTGATTTAAATTTAATGTTACAAGATGTTAAGTTCAATGTTTGAAAGTGTTAACTGCTTTTCATAAAGTTTGAGAGTTAATGTTTGGTTTTGGATTCATAGTTTAGGCTTTATAAATAGAGCCTTTGTTTGTGTTTTAAAAGATACGAAATCAAGAAAACAAAAACACACATAAATTCAATTTTCCCATTTATCTTTTATAGTGTTTTGGTCCAAGCATAATTCCAGTTCGCCGGATTTGTTTCGGTTTTTTCGTTGTATCCTGGAAAACAGACGCTCATAAGGGGCGAATCTGTTTTAAGGACACTGTGTTCTCACAGGCCTCGATATTATATATTATAGTCATCTTAATTTTATTTTCCCGTTAAAGTTCCTTACAGTTTCCACAAAACACGGCCAAAATTTGTGTTTTGTATATTTATATGACCATTTAGTGACAATAACACTTATTATTATGATATTTCAATCACAAAACTTAAAAACTCGGTCAAAACGTTGTTTACTCTATACATTTTTTTAGTTTGTGATAATGAGATAATTTTAGAACGCGCTGAGTCTAAGTGGCAGCTTCGCACGTTTCAATAATTTTACATGAAAAATATTATTCTTTGTAATATGGGTTGGATAAAAATTACTAATTTTTTATATCAAATAACTTAGGTTCGGATTACCATATATATATATATATATACACACATATTTAATATATTTAAATCATTCCATATAAATCTATTTACTATCTTATTTCTATAACGTGCATAAAATTAATGATATATCTAAATTAGTTTTCAGAATTTAAATTAATATTGTTAATTCACTTTGTTATTTACTAGTGTGTGGCCCGTGCGATGCACGGGAAAACAATATTACGATTGTATTATAAATTAAATATATAAATAACATTAATCATGATTTATCCATTGTTTTTAAATTAAACCGAGTTGGACACAGTCCGATTGGATGGATCGAGAATCGGTTTATAATCAGTCTAGTTCGCTTGAATAAAATATTTGCTCCCGAATCCGTCAACACTAATCGGTTGGACTGGTAGGATCGATACGATTTTCTGAATAAATTTTGTTATATTTAAAATTATTTTAAATAAAATTACATATTTAAATAAAATAGAGATTTATAAATTATTTATAAATTAGTTTAAACATTTGAATTTATAAATTATTTAGATATCTAAGTAACACATTTTATTTAAATTTATTACAAAAAGTACTATATATATATCTATTAAAATATTTATAAATTATAATCTTAACAAACCACAAATGAGTTAATAAAATAGCTTGATCATTTCGATGACAGTCCAGTTCTGAACACCTTATATTTACTGTACATTAGTAAATATTATAATAAAATATTGTATAATTCACATAAATATTCATAAATCATTAAAGATGTTGTCATAAAAGTATTGTTAATACGATTATTTGAAGTTTGGACTAATCACATTCACGTAATAAAATATCTTCAATACAACATTTATATTTAGGTTCCATAATCAATTTGGTGTGATCGAACTGATACATAACTTAGTCCCCTGGAACCAACCAAGTTGTGTCAAATTTTTTGACTATTTTAAATATCACCTAAAAGTAATTCAATTAACCTGGGCAGTACCCTAATTCAATCATCCGATTGATCCGAAGAAATTTTTTTATTTTATTTAAATATATTTAATTTTATGAAATAAAAATATTTTATGATTCATATAATAAATGTCTACACCAAATGATAGTATATTAAGATTATAAATTATATATCTATAGATGAATTAATTAGTTTTTCTTTATGCATATTAATAAAAAATAAACACAGTAATTTTCAAAAAATTAAGAGTAATTGATTAATTATGCAATTAAAGAATATTTTTTGCGATCAATATTTTTTTAAAGTCACAAATAAGACCGAGATTCTAAAACTTTTGTTATATTTTGAATTGAGATTTTATAAATATAGAGACCGAGATTTTAATATTGTTCGTTGTTTCTAAGAAAAAAAATAAAAATAAAAACATACACACTTAATAAATTTTAGCCAGATTTTTTAAATAATAAAATAAATTAAAGCTCGAAATTTAATGTAGCATTTAATGTTGTATGATTTTTAAAGAAAAAATTAAGAAAATAATAAAACTTACTATTTATAGGCTGCATTAAATTCTGATCTATTATTTTGCTACTATTTTTGGTAAATGGTAATTCTTATTATATATATATAGATATAGATATAGATTGTATATTTGAACAATACTAGTGTATACCCCGTGCGATGCACGGGAATAATATTAAACTAACAATATTATAAATAGATCTCGAGTTTTAGTCACTCAATGACGGAAGTGGAAATTACTATTGATCCTATTTAAAAGGAGGAAGAAAAAAAAAATTATAAATTAAAAAAGAGGATGAACAATCCTTAATAATTATAAATTAAAGATTCGGGGTCAAACAATGTAAAATTATTTTGTATAAGAGAATAAAAAAATTTGATTACACACCATTTTAAAATTATTATTATACTTTTTTGTATGATTAGCTTATAATATTTGTAAAAATATTAGTAATTAGACCGATGAAAATTAACTTCTTAAAGTAGATAATGGATTTATAGTAGTAATTATGAATTTGTTTCTATTTTATTTTATTTTTTTCTTTTAAAGATTATTGATTTCTAGTAGTAATTATGAATTGATTTTTATTTTATTTCTTCAAATCTGTATAGATAAGGGATGAGATTTTTTAAACACGTGATACGTATGCAATGAGATTTTCTAACAGAAGAGATAAGCTCGTGTAGATTTATACTAAAAATAGCAAAAAGAAAAACAAATATTTATTGTCAAACAACGGTTTTGATAAACTAAAAAACAGGAAAAAGAGAAACAAATCTTTACACAATTAATGAGCCGATTTTTTTGCCTATTCAGTATTTGAAGTAAAATTTTGTATTTCGGTTGATGTATGTTAGAATATCACTTATGAGTTGTCTCACATTGTTTATACAGGAAAAATAAGTTTAACTTATAAGTATAGTGGGTCTCTCCTCCTTTCACCAATTGGTTTTGGGATAGAACCTCATTTGAGTTTTATCTAGACTTTCCCGTTTCTTACGATGTAGAATATAGTTGATATTAGAAAAAAAAAATACATAAATATAAATTGAAAAGATGTCTTACAAAATGCTGAAGATCAGTATTTTCAATCTTAATAAATGTTTAGAAATAAAAAAAAAAAGAATTAATAGCGGTCAAACCAAGTTAAGGTAATCAACACGGTTAGTGGTGAAGTTGATCGGGTTTTGATGGGTCGTAAAAATGGAGGAAATCAATTAACCTTTTTTTATTCCACAATTAGATGTTTTAAAAAGTGTTGAATGGTATTATATTAATATTATTTGAATTGAATGAAGTTGTTGGTAACCAGATGTGGAGAGCAGCAGATCAAAAAGAGTTGTACAAGTATTCCACAGGGACGGTCAATGTGGTGAAGCCCAGCACCACATTCCGGGTCGATCCGGGAATTTTGGGGAATTCATGGTGACAATAGGGCTGGGCACACCAGAGACCAAAGTCACTCTCTATATCAACACTCACAGCGACCTGTCCTTTCTCCAATGCCAACCCTGCCAACCCTGCCACCCACAATACGGCTCAGTATTCAACCCTAAAAAATCCACTTCATATTCCACCATCCCCTACAATTCCCCTCAATGCTCAATGGTCAAAACCGAATTTCCTACTATCTCCTCCCCAACCGGCACCTGCATCTACAACGGTAGCTACAACAACACTATCTACAACATGGGATACTTGAGCAAAGACAAACTTACCACAGCCCATCGGCAGAGTTTCGCGGATTTCATCTTTGGTTGCAGCCAATTCGTAGATGAATATGACCTTGCAGCCGGAGTTTTGTCCCTCGGCAGAGGAAACAACATCTCTTTCGTTCACCAAACTGCCACTAAGTACGATGGTCGTTTCTCCTACTGCCTGCCCACTACCGGATCCTCCAATGGTTTTCTAGCATTCGGAAAAGATAGTGCAGATGACAACCTTACCAAATTCACCCCTCTAGTTACTAATACAGACTACCCCATAAAATACTTTGTCGACATTATATCCATAGCGGTCGGCGGCCGTACCCTAAACATATGCCCGAGTGTTTTCGGAAAGCCCGGCAACACCCAAATAGATTCAATCGCTCGCTACACCTCCTTGCAGCCGAAAGCATACAAGGCATTGAGCCTCGAGTTTAAGCGGCAGATGATAAAAAACTACGGCTACAAGAAAGCACCAGCATTTCATGGTATCCTGGATACTTGTTTTCTTACCACGGGACATGACAACATCACTGCGCCTACAGTGTCCTTCACTTTTAGCGGAAACGTTGAGGTTCATCTGCAAGTTTCTCAAACACTTTATGCCATAAACTCAGATCAATCCTGCCTTACTTTTGTCGCAAACACTGACCCTACCGATTATGCTATATTCGGAACCACTCAACAAAGGACATTCGAGGTGGTGTTTGACGTCGGCAGAGAGAAATTAGGATTTCGGCCCAACAGCTGCACTTGACTCATCGTTTACAAGATGATGCATAGGACTAAAACTTTTATTGCTCCTTCAATCAATCCTTCTTCTATATTGTCTTGTTTCCTCTTCTTCGTCATCGTCTTTCCTCTT